TCGTCTGAACAAGCTCTGCCTGTGAACATTCAAACTCCTCTTCATCAGATACCCACTTGAAGAATCCACAATTACTCACTTTCCAATTAGCGCATCCCAAAAACAATCGACCGGGGTTCGTCTTAGTTCCAGATATGGAGAGTATAGCCCTCCTTCCACAATGGCACAACAGTCCATGACGATTGCTTGAAGATGAATCCATAATTGGCCAAAAGGAAACACACTCGAACACTATAATTTTCTACCATATATTACTAGCGAAATAAACTACTAGTGAAATCAACGAATTCATGCAAACAATATATTAGGTAAAGAGAAATTGAGTTGATATTTTGCTTTTAGCAGAATCAAGACAACACCAATGAACTGAGATTTAAGTTGATAGCATGTTACTTTCCATTGGTAACTTAAGAATACAGATTTAAGACTACACCACAATAAATACATTCAGAAAAAATATTAAAAGTTCAACAATATACCATAGAATTGAGCTGATACACATTGTTTCAATATACAATAGGCATGAACTGAGACACATTGAGTCGATTTCACATTAAAACAATGCATTCATATGACACCTACAGTTGAAATATATCTTTCTTTTTAACTAAATGGTATTCCATTTTGAGCAGAAGCAATGATCTGAAATTCAAAGCAACTTAGCTATCAAAATACCATATCAACTTGCGCATAAGAACAATGAGTTATTTGTCAACATCCCAAATGCAATTACTTAGTGAACATACCAATCTTCGACACGACGATACTCCCAAGTTCAAGCTCCCAAGTTCAAAACTGAATTATTGACAATTCAGGTACTAGTTCAGGCAAAACAAGAGTACAATCTGAAACTGTAGCCTAAAGATGCTTGCAATTCCAACCTGTTTTTACCCAAAACTCTTAATAAATATGATCATTTATCTAAAAAACACCTATATATATAGCAAATTCCATTCATTTTGGAATCTTAATTTCTTCGGTTTGCAAAAAATAAGCACTTGAACATACTTAGTATGAGTATGACGAAAAGATCACAAGAGTATGAGTATGAGTATTCACCTCAGAAAGTATGACGACAAGATCACAAGAGCTCGAGATCGGCGTCGACTGACGACGGCTCTGTTGCAGGCGAAGGAGACAGATCTCAAGGTGGCGATGGCGATGACGGCGAAAATCTTGACGACCTCCTCCTTCGAAGGCTGGAGATCGGCGGTGGCTGACGACGGCTCTGTTGCAGGCGAAGGCGACTGATCTCGAGGTGGCCTCCAGTGATGACGGCAAAGAGACTGATGACCTCCTCCTTCGAAGGTTCGAGATCGGGTGTTTTTTCGAGGGATTGGGGAACGGCGGCGTCGATTCTCGCGGCGGCTGACGGCTCCGATGGCTGACGGATATATATATATATATATATATATATATATATATATATATATATATATATATATATATATATATATATATATATATATATATATATATATATATATATATATATATATATATATATATATATATATATATATATATATATATATATAATATTAACATGATAACTAACAAGATGACTAACGTGATAGTTAATGCTTAACCAAAAACATAATTTCAAGGGAACCTATTAGTCATTAGAACCACACAAACTTTAATACTTATAGTTATAAGGAATTATTAAAACTGAGAGGATATAAAAGAAAATCAGAAGTTTTAGCATAGCAATCCTCTTTTATAGTAGTAGTAGTGTGTTTGTGTGTCTATATATTAGATATTTTATTATTAAATTTTGCATTTCTAGGAAAATTCATTAGCTCAATTGGTCAGATCACGCAAACTTCACAGTAGAGTTTTTCGGTTCAAAGCCTACCCACCACAAATAGTTTTACATAATTAAAAAATAGGTAAATTACAATAGAGGCAAATAACTATCAGCGTTTTGTATGTTTTTGCAGAAAACTGTAATATCTTTTGGCTAAATTACACAACCCTGAATAACTTTCCAAATGTCTTCTATGTTGTTTTTTTGGCCCCAATTTAAGACGGTCATTAATTGGTTCTAAAATATAGGTGGGGTTTTCTGCAAAAATTACTACGGATTTAGTGAGAATTAAAAAATTATTACCTGTCGATTGCAAAATTCTAAAAGATGGCCAGGAATTTTTTTCGTATAAAATATCATTTTTTTAGAACTAGGCAAATAAATCGCATTTTTCTTATAAACCAATTTATAAATGAACTATAAAATGAGTTGTAATATAATAGTAGGATAATATAATAAGACAATACTTCATGAACTTTAATAAGATAATATAATAAGAGGATGACATATAATATAAACTTCTTTTTGTTATAAACCTAATATTTAACCCTATTAGTTTTAAATTCACCTTTCTTCTCTAATAAACTCAAGCTCTCACCCCTTCCTTCCAAATTTTATTTTTAAATCTGGCTACATCCAAAATAACTCATAAACCGAGAATATTTCAACCAATGATTTACTCCATATTTTTAAAACCTCCTTGCTTCCAGAAAGGGCTTTTTCCCCATATAAATCTAAACTTGTACCCCCATTTATTTTGGAACCCACTCATTCCCAAAACCATTCCTACATTCAAAACACTCACAAAGTTATTTTAAATTCAATTTGTATTCTAGCAGTTTATTATATATTGTGAGTTGTGATATTTTGTTATGACTTGCTAACTAAGTATTTAGCTATACATTGTATTTTGCAAACCAAATATTAAATTATTTTCTAGTTTTTTCATAATAATGTCTCATCATCAAAATTGTAAATGATTTTTATTATGTATCCCCTTGTGATATTTTGTTTTGACTTGTTAAATAAGTAGTTAGGTGTACATTGTATTTTTTTTAAACCAAATAATAAAATCTCTTCTTTTTTTAGACTAATGTAGAGCAATCAAATTTTAACTAATTTTTTTACCTATAAATGCGAAAATTTACCCCCACTTATTTTTAAACTCACAACAGTCTAGAAATAATTTTTTGCTTATAAACCCAAAAGTTTTACCTTTATTTATTTTTTTAAAACTTGCCCACTTCTAAAAAAAATACTCTTAGATCCATAATACTCCTATGATTATTTTTAAATGCATTTTGTATTTCAACACTGTGGTACACGGTGTAAGTTACTATATTGTACTGCAACTTTCTATACTTTTGTACAAGTTGTTATGTATATGTTCTATATTTCAAACCAAATAGTTAAATTCCTTTAGGTCTTTTCTCGTACAAATATCCATCCACTTTCAAAATCACTCTTACGCACAAAATAGTTAATTCATGTATTTTTGACACACTTTTGTATTACAGTAGCTAGATATACGGTGTTAATTGCTATATTTTGTTTATTTTTGCTGTAGTTTTTTCTAGTAATGCTCAAACAAAAATTTCCATTGTTTTCACGCAAATGTCGTGACAACGTGCGGGTTAATTTTGCTCGTTGAAAGTTATAACTATTTAGAACGTGAATTATATGTGGCTGAAGTGATAATCAATCATTGAGACTTTAGTTTTAGATTTTTAGTTTTGAAAGCTTCTAATCTACGTTGCGTAACGAGAAACAAACATAAGGTATTATGTGTATGCTTGTTCTTTATTCCCAACTATATTTTAAATAGAGCACGTTTGAGACCATAAGATCATTTTTCCCATAGTGTGATATATTGTAGTATGAGCTACTCCTACTTGATATATAACCATCCATTCTTTGGATTGATGATAAATGTAGCGCGCATAAAACTTTCCGTTTCCTTATTAAAATGTTCATTCGGAAATATTAGAAAGGGGTTTCACGTAGGTATATAAAAGAAAGGCCCCTCGCTGCTGCATAAGCTTAATTGGCATTTATTTAATAATGACTCCACATATATCTATCGTTGTACAATTGACTTTCTGCACAAATTAATTTGCTTTAACTTGGGACCCCATCTATTATCCAAGGCTCCTCGCCATCCCTATCAACAAACCATTGTACACGCATCGATCATGAAGTACTTGTGGGGTCCTTGTACATTTGGCCGTAACATGTTATGCACCTACTTAGCGAAAAGGAAAATGATAGGGGCACACCCCTAACCACAACCTCAACCACACCCCTTCTCTCATTTGCCATAGTGCACCAGACCTCACATAAGATTTTAAAATCTCATGTGGGGTCCGGTACACTGTAGCAAATGATAGAAGGGTTGTGGTTAAGGTTGTGGTTGGAAGTGTGTCCCTAGTGCCACCCTAGCGAAAAATGCATGCTACATGCGTATAATGCAATATATAATGCTAAACAATACAATCATATTGACCTTGAGGGCCATAGCCGAAGCTGGCACCTCTCCCCATCGTTTCGTGTGATGTTGAAGATAAGTACGATTACAAGTGCCTTTGTAAAACTTTTATGATGTACCCGACAATTTAAATGCATCTAGGCTGTCGATTTGATTATCTGATGCATTATCAAATCTCTAGTTTTAGCTGGAGGTTCGTGTGTCCGAAGTGATGGGCCCTCTTGTATCTGATGCATTATCATTAATGCGTCGGCATCAGAAAAAAAAAATTAAAACTTCACTTACACCAGTACTTTTTTCTATAGGTACATCAACTCTACAGAAGCAACCATGATTCTCATATGATCACCGTTAATATATTATCATCTTGCAAGTTATGTACCTGAACAACAACGGACAAATTTTCAAAACCAACCCTTTTCATGATTTAATTGCAAAAAACGACCCGTTTCTGTTTTATTTAGAGAAACCGACCTGGTTTCAGCACTGTCGCTGAAACCAGGTCGGTTTTTGAAAAAAACTTTACGAAACTTCACGGGAGTTGAACTCCCGTGAAGTTTGGGAAAAAAATTTTCAAAAACCGACCCAGTTTCAACCAACTGGGTCGGTTTTTATAAATAAAATAGAAACGGGTCGTTTTTTGCAATTAAATCATGAAATGGGTCGGTTTTGAAAATTTGTCCGAACAACAACAGGATACGGTGGTGAAAAATGAAAAGGGGAAAAAGAATCAAAGTATAAAAGCATAACGATACATCACTTTAGTAACATAAACAAAACAAATAATGATCATCATTAGAATATTACTAAAATACCGGAAGCTTCCTCAAGTCACAGCCTGATCAGTCCAAGTCTCTGCGCTTTCTGAAATGTCTGAGGATGAAACTATCAGCGTATAGTGGGTAATTCTTCCTTATTAAGCCTTTGATGCATTTCCAATACGAGAAATCAACCAACTCTCCGTCTTTCCTGACTATGAAAAGGCACCGTGAGTTCTCAAATTCTGGGTGAAATCCTATCTGTTCAATTGGAGAATGGCAAATGTAATGATCAATAACCCACTTGGAAAAAAAAAAAAGACCAAGTAATCTTTTTATCCTTTTTCTTTAACTTTTGAGTAAAACAGTACCATGTGTATCAAAATATATAGCTTTAACGCATGAAGTTAAAGAGCACAGAAATGTATCACAGAATAAACGTCTCGTGCAGCCTCAATATTTACTATGAGAAACAGTGGGATGATTCATTAATAACCCCCTCAAAACAATGACGTGTCTATACTACGAGTGTGATTATATGATCCCCACAAGTACAATACTGTCAAAAAGACCGTCACAGTATAAATTTATAAGCCTCAACCTTCACAGCTTCATAGTTCTGGTGCAGTTGAAGAGGCCTTAACATGGTATCTGAGAGATCCTAGTTTGAATCCCACCAGCCACATACTCAATTCCCGCCAGCCACTTACTTAAAGTGGATAGAGAAAAAAAATGTTACGTGAGTTGAAATTTCGGTCTCCTACGAGGAAGCTTAACCTCAGGAGGAATATTACTAGTAAAAAGTTATAACCCTCAACCATCACATCACTCAGAGTTTTGGTGTAGAATAAGGGACTTGCACAATGAGATACAAACTATGATCTGTGAGAAGTTCATTCTGAATAGAAATGCCAACAAGACCTAAAAGCTTTAGCATTAGACAGGGAGAAGAATACATGTACAGGATATGCAATAAAACAAGAAAGAGCACATGCTAGTTGGGATGATAAAACGAATAAATTGTTACATCATGATTAAGTATCAATTATCGTTGAGGTTGCTTATAAAAAATTGTATACTTTGAATTCCACTAATATTTACTATCTTTGCAAAAGCATATAGGCTTACCCCTCCACTGATTGTGCCTTACAAATGACCTAGCAAGAACTTTATGCTTTGTAAAACCACGTAAAGGAATGAAGGTATAACATACTGACTAGGTATATCTTGTAATTATTCTTCACAATTTAAGAAATTAATGACATCATTCCTGTTAAGCTAGGAAAGCATGACAAAATATCTTGGAAGCGGGAAAAAACATACAGTTATATAATCAATTCCGCAACCTATCTTTCTCTCAAATGCAGGGTGATATTCTAGCAACCTTTCCAGAACTATCTTCTCATGCTCTGGGATTAATCTGTCACCACTATTGTACCTGCCAAAATGAATTTTCTTCAGGAGTGATAACAAAAACAACTAACAGAAACAACTAATTTCATGTAATTTTTTTATGCTTTCATAGCAATGAGTTGTGATGGAGTAAGCTAGCTTTGCTAATGCTGTATATTGTAATGAATGGAATTCTCATTTAAAAGGTTGGGGACGACTGTAAAAATGTTTAATGGTGTTTTCTCATTAAAGATTTTGACACTCTTTTTGCGTAAGTGGTAGAGGGAGGATGTTAAGTAGAGTCTAGTTAGCATCCAAAAGGTCCCTGCCTAGTAAAATACACATAGAATCAGACAAGAACATATTGTGTGAAGTAAAATCAAGAAATAATATACAAGAACTGCATAAATATAAACAACTTCCGATGCTAATTCTGTGCGCCTCAAAGATGAAGCTTTTTCTCTTGACAGTATGTTTACTAACACATACCAAATAATGGGTTACTGCCCTATTCTATAGAACAAAAACTTTGCACTATATGAGTAAACTAAATAGTTTTGGCTAGGCTTTACTCTGTTTGCCCTTTTATTTAAGATTTTGTTTATTTTTGTTGGGAAATATGACGATACAAAACTCTATATAGCTAAAACACAAACTCCAAACTTAGCAAAATAATAAATCTTAATAACTCTACGCAACCTGAAGGTCAGAGAGAAACCAAAAGTCATACAGTAGTGACTGAGATTCATTCACCCCAAATCAATAGCATGGAAAAATTAAAAACATAAATTTAGTACTAAAATTCAAGCAATCCTTCTTAAACTAGACTTGCACAACATTGAGTTTTTTTCCTTATCTTGTTGAAGTTACCAACTTTTATTGTCTTAGTAAATTAAAAAAAAAAGATCACTTGTGTCACAGAAAGAAACTTTGATTTCACCAACCTTCATGAAGTCATAGATGAAATAACATTTTATCTTTACATGCTTTCTTTTGCCATGAAAAACCGGATACTCTGAGAGTGATGGTTGAATTTTTTTTTGGGTAACTGAACTTTTATTTCACTTAGCAATTGAACATTATGTAGACAACACAGCATACCCCCAGGAGTACAAAATTGCAACATCAAAACTAATACACAGTCAAAACATCTTCTCCCACAATTTACCTACGAACATTCTCAAAACTACAGACACTAACCAACTAAACAACACTCTCCAGCCACACCTTCACATTAGAAGACTGACAATATCGAACTCTTGTAATAATTTCCACCATAATTCTTCTAAACAAGATATTAGAACTCACAGCAATGTGCTGAAAGATTCTCACGTTCCTCTCCCACCATAGTGCATATACAGTAGCAGTGAATGCAGCCTGCAACACCTTCCTTTTTGGGATTTTACCTCTCCCTTGCTGCACTCCATGCCATGGGATCCCTGTTCTGACAAAGCCAAACCAATATTTTCTTCCATACTAATGCTGAATAAGGGCATTGAAAGAACATATGTTCAAGAGTTTCTCTAGATTGGTTGCAAAGCACACAAGAGCTCTCTTCATAAGCAATCTCCAACCTCAACAGTCTGTCACGTGTTAAAAGGCTTCCCACACAAAGCAAGCCACAATATAAAAGAGTGCCTTGGCAAAGATAAGGAACACACTACAATAGGAGCCCAAAGAACTCTGAGTACAGAAAATATCCTTGTAACCAAGAGAAAGTTCGAGCTTACCCAGTTTAATCCAGTGCCCTGTTTGCTGAAGAAAAGCATCAGAAGTCCCTCCATTTGAGCAACATCCAATCTCTAACTTGCAAGAGTTTTCTCCAAAACCATGAATCAATACTCCTTACTTGCACATCCCAAATAGAACTATTTTTAAGGTATTGTCCATGGATCCATTTGATCCACAAATGATCTTCTTTTTCATGAATAGAACAAACAATCTTTAACATAGCCACTTTATTCCAGAGCTCAGATTAAACAAGCCCAACTCCCCCTTGATTCTTGGGCAAGCACGACTGATCCCATGAAACTAAATGAACTTTATGCACTCTACGCCTACTCCCCCAAATGAAATTGCAGCACAGTCTATCAATTTCCTTTAGAGTTATTTTTGGCAACATGTAAACACCACTCCAAAATATATGCATGCTAAAATTAACTAATTTAACCATTTCTATCCTCCCTGCATATGATAATTTGTAGGAACCCCATGCTTTAATTCTAGCTTCAATCTTGGAAAAACGGTCACCACAACGCAAGTGAGATATTATTGTGTTAGATAATGGCACACCCAAGTACCTAACTGGAAATTTCCCCTCCTCATACCCCAAGCTTTGACACAGAACGCTTCTCACATCATCAGATACGCCAGCAAGGAATACAGTGCTCATACATGGATTAACATGAAGACCAGAGGCAACAGAGAATTGTCTAATGCTTGAGGGTGAGCATAGATATCAAATCAGCTCTGGCAAACAAGAGCAAACCATCAGCAAATACCAAAGTAGATAGTTTCATGGCAGCACACTTCGGATGAAATCTAAATCCCCTTTACTCTGAACATTCTTCAACCTCCTAGTAAGATACTCCGTGCAAATGACAAAAAGATAGGAAGAGAATGGATCTCTTGCCTTAGTCCCCTCCTACCTCTAAAATAGCCATGCATCACTCTATGAATCAAAATAGTGTAGCTAGGAGTACAAACACATTCCATAACCCACACAACAAACATATAAGGAAAATTAAGCCCCAAGAGCATGCTCCTCCATAATCTCCAATCCACTGTATCATATGCATTTCTGATGTCAACCTCCTCCACCACCACTTAACAAATTAGTCTTGGTGTCAGTCCAGCGCCTAAGTTTTCTATAACATTCGCATTAACTATCAGTAATTATAATTAAAATTAAAAACTAAAAAATATGAAAACGCTTAGGCCCCACCTGGGCTCTAGGCATCGGGTCAAACGCTTTGGCCACGTAGCGCTTTCTATTAACTTTGATGACTAGAAATTAAATGTAGAATGATGCAACCATAAGGGATGAAATATGGTTGAAAATTTCTCTATACGAAGACTCCAAGTTGATAAAAGATAGCTTTGATATTTTGGAATATTGGACATATGATACTTCTAGATTTCTCACCTCTAAATTGACAATTCGGCTGTACCAATTTGTCTTGTTGCTTTAGAGTCTTTATTTGGTGTCAGAAGACATATGAGAGAATTTTTAGTCAAAGAAAGCACAGGGTCATACATGCATTGACTTGTCGAATTTAGGCAGCATGTTATCACTAAAGATGTAAGCTAGGGAGATCTGACTTATGTTGAGAAGTTGAAAACTATTAATATCCTTCCTTCTCCCTTCTCTCTTTAGAACTGTTGAGGAGTTCAATGAATACATCTAGCTATTAGCTTGTCTGTACCATGTTATAATATAACGTAGGTTTATTCCTTCTAAACATAAAGACTTAGGATAAAGGATTTTGTTGTTCTTGTTGTTGATGTTATGTTATACATAGATTTATTAGTATAAATTAAAAGTATGATTACCAATAGAAAGAGAGTGGAAGTTGATCGAATAGTTATCAAATAGTTCAGTTATTATTCATCTAATTATTGGTTTAAATAAGAACGGGGAGATCATTTTCGAGAAATCAAATAATTTTGGACATTTGTATGTTACTCTAATAGAACATTCAAATATTTGATTAGAGTGATAATCAAACATTCATATAAAGTTTTAACTCCTTAAAGTTGTGTTAATATACACATTACGTTATGTTTTAATTTCTTGTTACATTTCATAACTAGGTTAATTCTTATACTGATACTTAAAGGGGATTTTTTGTTAAATACAGCTAATTAGAAACCGAGACATTTTGTAGGATTTTGATTTAAGATGTTATTCATTTAAGATTTGGATTTAAATTTAAGGTATTATTTGCTTAGGACGGTCGGATTTAATTTAAGGTGTTATTCATTGAGGATTAGGATTCGGATTTAAATTTATGGTGTTTATAGAACTAGGATCTGGATTTAAATGTAAGGCGTTATGGGTTAGGTTGGATTGTGATTAGCATTGGAGTTTCTAAGTCTATATTCCAATCTAATTACACATTTTCTTATTGAATTGAGACCTTAAAAAGTCCAAGTAAAATTTTGTGGGTTTCTTGTCCTCAATCTTGGAATTTAATAGTATGTCTATTCTATTATAGTAACTAAATATAGTTCTTTTATGTTGTTGAATAGTAGTTATCTTTTTATGTAGCTAAACAATAGTTATCTTGTTTTATTTTTCTTTTGGCTTGGTGAGGAAAATTCCCCATGACCATGAGTATCAAACCCCCGGGCATAGCTAAAAGGCACCCCCAAACGGACAAACTCTGATGTTCCACGAAATTAAATTCGTGTGGGAGCTCCCCAGGAGAGTCAAACCTAAGACCGTGGAGTACTACTTATAGGTTGATTACCAACTCGGCTAGACCCTCTTGGGTCAGTTATCTTGTTTTATGTGGTTGAATATTATTATCTTATTTTTTTTAACTTGAACAGTAGTTAATTTATTCAATATCATCTTAAGTATTAAAGTCGAGTGCACAGGTATATGTATACAATTTATACTATCTATACCAAGATTTTAAATATTGGATAATGGGGAAATATTGGATAAAAAATGCATATTTGATATCGGGAAATAGCGAGGATATGTAGCAAATGTAGGAGTGCCATATTAAGTAATGTGCACATGTAATATAATGTCCTAAAATATTATCAACATACCTAATAAAGTCTAAGCATAGAAAAACGTAAATAATATATGTTTAGGATCACCAACAAATCTTTCAAAACTAAGAAAAGTGCAAATATACATTGCAACATTTTAGTCAAATTTTTAGGCCAAAATGTCACTTGATATATCAGGAAAATCATAATATATCGCCCAAAATTGCGTAAAAAATATATTATTCTGCAACAAGACAAATAAAAGGACATATCGGTCAACATATTAGCTGATATATCGGCCATGTTAGGGATACATCACCCAAAATTTTTAAAAAGCAGTAAAAGATATTAAGACAATATCATTTTGCCACAAGCCTTATGAAAGGATATACCGACCAGATATATCAGTGATATCAGGTATATTTAAAACAATGATTCATACAATATAATAAAGAACCAATTAGGCGTAGGAAAAGTTTTGAAGGAATGTGGCACACAATAAGAAATGAGGAGGGTAAAATGGTAGTTTTAATTAAAATACAGTGAATGTCATTACATGATATATTTTATAAAAATATATATCATATGAACAATTATTATACTTGAATGTTATTGAAAGTAATAAAAAACAATGGATCTGAATGTATTAAATATCTCTTAATAAAATTATAAAAATACAATAAAGAATATATAATATATTGGAAATTATAAAAGTAATTTTAAATAATAACTCTCTTACAAAAATATTTTGGTAAGATAAGCGAATATCTTCTCTTTCCTATAACAATTAAATGAATAAATTACTACATCGAAATTATGTATATGAACTCAAATTTTTAATCAAATTTTGAACAAATCACCTCAAATTAAAAGTGTTGACTCTTACATTTTTTTTCTTATCACATTCATTTCCACATGTCAAAATTCTAATTATGTATAAATTCTTTTGTTGTACTTTTCTTAATCAAAATGATGGCATATCCAAAAACGGAATTTTAATTGTAATTGATTATTACCTAACATATTAATCTAATGTCAAAATCCTAATTAAAATAATCCATAAACTTCAATTTTAGTCTAAGAATCCAACACTCTATCCAATAATCAAAACCAAAAGCTCAAGAATTCTATTCAAAATTTAAATCCAACCTAAGAGTCTAGGGCCCAAAACCAAAAATTCTAATCTTAATCCCAATTCAAGAATAACGGATTCATGGACAATTGTCCTAGTCGTGCTAAAAAATCTAGAATGAATAATAACCCCTAAAAGTCCAAACTTGATTTTATAGAGCATTCAAATTACTGATTTACACCTCATAACTATAAAGGAATAATTCCAAAAATTTTCGCAAAATAGAAGTATCTCCTTGACCAAATAAAAGGATCTTCTTAATCAAGTAATTTACTTTTCATAAACAAAAAAAAAATAATCTATTCGATAAATATTCAAAGGTATTCATGCTCTAATTTAGATTTGAATAAATTTTAAAAAGGGAATTTGACTTCAAATTTGTAAATTTGAACAAATAGTAATATTAACATCTCAATATTCGCTTAAATTTCATTTACAGTCGTAAGTAAAAACCTTGAAGGCAAAGGATAATCAACACCAAGATAAAATTTAGTTTAGAGGTGCATGGTCCCATCTTATAATGTCCTTTGAGGTTGGTAGTTGTGTTTTATATGGCCCTTAATTGAATTATTTCCAAATTGATCAACATTGACTAAATACGGGCAATTTCACAAAAAAAAAGCTCTATTAATTAAGCCAAGAACCAACTGAAAGAAAGAAAAAACAAATTCTTTTCAACCAGTAGTGAAAAGTCATAGAAACCTCCAAGGAAACAAGTCTTATATCACTTCTTTTAGATGAATGAGTTATAAAAAGTTTGATTTACCCGATCGGTAAACTATGAAATAAGGTTTTTCATCTCTTGCTCAAAAAAAGTATAGTTACTACATTAAAGAAAAAGAAGCATACAAGTCATAATATTTTTAATTAGAAATAATTACAAATAATTTCTCGATATAAATTGTCCTTATTTCTAAACCATCTCACGTAATATATAAAAATTTTAAATCAATTTTTACACTATTCATATGTATAGGTATTTACATATGTATATGTATTTACATATGTGTATATATATGTGCATATGCATGAATACATAATAAAAGGAGAGGCTTTAATGTTCCTCGCACATAAATACATATATATATTACTCATTCATCATGGGGTAACAAAATTTAATGGTTTTTTAACAATACAACTAAATGATCTCTTGACGCATGAGTTAGACTACTCTAGTGCATGATCCATCATGTTCATCAGTATCTACATATTGTAAAACATGTATAAACAAAAAATTTTAACTCTTCAAAATTTCTAACATATGTTTCATATTATCGTAAAACCGTTAATTTTTTTAATCGCTTGATATATTACTAATGAGAACTCAATATGCCTAATTTTAAGTTAGTAGACAATTACAAACATGAGCATCAAAATCATTGGATTTGACCTCTCAAATTCATGTCATGTTATATACTTTTCGAGATGTGCATAACCTGTCGCATTCACAAGGGTGCACATGGGTTGGATAATTAAAAAATGGTTATTTTCAGGTGAGGACCATTTGAATGAGTGGATGAGAATGAGTTACCTCACTACCAAGCAACAAGTTTATACTTGGTACCAAGCATATCTATTTCTCTCTCTTTTCCTACATATACATATACATGTACATATATGGGAAAAAGGTTCCTAAGATGCCACCTTAGATTCAATCTAAGATGACACCTCTTAATACATGGATTTGAATACTTCTGACACATATCTTTCATTGTCTATTTAGTCGTATTGTCGTGAAACTGTTAATTCTACAATCACTTGATGCATGACTAATTATAATCTAGTATGCCTGGTTTTTTATTTATATATCATCCATAAAATTTAGAATGAAATGAAGGAAGTGGATCAAGTAAATTGATTGCATATAACATAGTTTTGAGGATATCACCTTAGATTGAATCTAAGGTGGCACCTTAGAGAAAGGGCCAAACAATTATATGCTGAGGGGAAAATTAGAGACTTCAAAATGTTAAAAATATAGAAAAACACACATAATCATCTATGTTTAGCTCTTTCCTGTTTCATCTTTCTCCTTACAACATCAGAAGAAATCCATGAAGTCTCTCAATTTGTTCTAGACGAAATCATCAATAACATGATAAGCCTGGAACTATATAATTTTACTTACATGATTTGTTTCATGAAAAGAAGTTGACCTTTCGTTCTGGCATGGTTACTAACTGAATAAATTTATGAATGTCGCCTTCAGAAACTAAGCTTTATATTGTTTTTTTCCTTTTAATTTTGTTGAAACTAAGCTTTTATCTAGTGCTTAAACGCTCAATTACATTCTCCCCAACATCCCTCCTATTTTGTTACAATATATTCTTAAAACAATTGCAATTAAGAAATACAGTTCTTTAGAATTCATATGAAATCATCTATGAACATATCTTAGTAAATCTCAAATCACGCTAATCAAGTGACGCGGAATTGGGAAGAATCTTTAATCATGGTTTTATGGATTATGATTTCCATAGGTTTTTATGCTTTTAGAGAAGGGAAAGGAGAAAGATGGTTATGCCATTTTCCAAGATTTCTTTTTGCAGACAACCTCTATGATACTATGTTTTTATAATAACTTTTGAAGAAAAAAGAAACCATCAAGAAATAGCACATGCAAATAATTTCAGGACTTGACAATTGTAGGCACACATATCACAGAATCTTTTAGTTGGACCAACAAAGACAAAATGACTAAAGCACAACTATGTAACCAACTGTGAAAAGCCTTCCTATGATCCCTCTTAATAATCTATTGAGAACTTTTGCGGAGAGTTTCTTCTCCCTATTCTCTTAATCTAATTAGACGTCCGTTATAAGACATCCAAGGTAACAAAACATGTACATTTGGATTTACAGTAACTTACCCTGCACTGCCCTAAACAAGCACACTTACTGTGGAATTTATTTCACCGCAGCTCCTCCCCAAAAGCACAAGCTTGTAGTTCTAAAACTAATTCCTATCTTGCAAGAATTCCGGCAACACTTCCTAGAATCCTCACAGTAACCAGTAAACTCACGTGAACGTCACAACCTTTGATCATTCAGTACCCGGTTTCTCATTCAAGCATTTCGTCAAACAGCTAATCTACTACACTACTAAGCAAACAAAATAACACAGGTTTTCAAGGGTTCTCACTTGCCAGAATGAAGGATCGTCCTCACAAACCCAACAAGGGGCACAGTGTCCTCAAGAATCTGATCCTCCCAGTCGAGCCAGCCATCCGCCGCCTTCGCCCGCTTCCCCTTCTCCTCTGCCTCCTCAGCGGGCAATGTAGACGTGACCAAGGGCTTTCTCAAGAGGGAAGGGTCCTGCTGCCCACTGGCTTTACTCACTCCATGGGTTTTGGTGGTTCGAACAGTGAGAATGCAGAGTGAGAATGGATGGATTGGGGAGGAGAAGGGAATTGAGTTTGGGTTCTTGTGGAGGAAGCGAGAAGGGGAGGAAACCCAGACGAGCGCCATCACTGGCGGGCTACAGTAGTTCTTAGATGTTTTCTAGTATAACGCACCGCACGTGGCTTCACGCTCAGAAGGGAGCGGATAGAGATGCTGGACTTGTGTACGGCAACCAAAGGAATTGACCTAAAAATGAAGAAGTTCTAAAACGTAGGTCATGGTGTCACCTCAACAAAATACTTATATGTATTTGCGGTTTGTTAACAAAATACTAAATAATTATCATTGATAATAGCATGTTTAAAAGATATAAATTAATGATGGTGTCGCTTAATCAAGATTGGTTAATACACTTCGTTATTATTCCAAATTATCCCTTATTATCCCACTAAAATATCTTACTTGCAAAAAAAACATGCCTCGTTATCCCACTAAAATACACTACTTTAAACAAATCATTCCATTTAAGCAAATTTCCCAGTTTTACTTGATAAGTTTTCATTGTTTAAAACACACCTAGTAAAAGTGCAGTTATACTTTAGTGTAAATTCAAATTGAGAAAGAAGATTCAACATATCTAAGTTGAAAATTTAATAAAAGTAGGGTTATCAAAATGCAACTAACAATCTAGAAAATGAAAATAAGTTTATTTAAAATTGTTTGCTTGAATGGAGTATTTTCAAAGTTTGGTAATTTATCCCATCGGTAAAAAGAGATAATGTCACGCTCTGTATCCAAGATAGGAAAGAGGATTGAAATTTAATAATCAGTCAGAAGAAAAAGGATTTCAAACTCATTTATATACCCCTTAAGTGATTCATTATTAATCTAATTCATAAAAAAGTACGCATTAAATAAGGATGGTTGAAAAGGGTGTAGAGACCTAGAGAAAAAAAAGTGTTGAATCCTAGTGTATAGAGAGTGATTTTTTCTGAGATAAAGAAGATGATTATTTTGAGATCAAGAAAGACAACGTTGTGTAATATCCGATAATAAAGTTGATTCCTTTCCCTTCCCGTGAATGTAGACCATTGTGAAATTACATAAAGGTTTGATTTAATTTTCTAAGAGATTGCTGACATGTTTCCAATTATGTTTAGATTTGCTTTAAGTTTTCCTTGTGCTAAATAAAATGAGCAAATCTAGTTGGCAAGATCTGGAGCCATTGCTCACATATCTTACACATGCCAATAGGTTATCTCTCGATTCTCTCATATCTTGAATTACAAAGACAATGAAGTCTCTTTGTCGTGAAATTTCTATCTAGGTCATGATTTCATGACTTGATACATGTTTTTATATCTCTCTTCATTTCCTAATTTCTTACTCATTTTAATTTCTAGGGTACGAGTTGTTAGATTATGAGCAATACTATTGGGAGAGAAATCGGATCCAACCAAGAGCTGATGAGCCTTAAACAGAGATCAGGAACCAATTTTAACTCAAAAATTATAGTTTCTAGGTAGTGGCCATAAATCCTAATTTAAACTTTTCACTCTTTCTTATCCTATTCGATATGGGACTATACTCACATATTAATAACATCAACAATTGCCTTTTTATGAGTATAGTTCAGTCTTCAACTAACCTTCCATGGGATTGACTAACTTCTTGCATTACTTCTCTCTTGGGCTAACCAGGCCATGCATTCAACACATGACTATCAAAACATCCGTAAGATCATTTAGAATCAGTACATGGCCATCAAACACCCATAGGATCTTCCACCACTTCACTCATGGAGGCTAATCAGACTATATCGCTCCTACAGGCATCCGTGAGTTCTCCCGACACCTTCGGGCTTCACATTGTACTTTATCTTTTATTAAAATTACTTGGACCATGATCTTAGCAATGATACCATTTGTTGGGGGCGTAATTGGGCCCGATGTAGAGTTGATGAGCCTTAAATAGAGGGCACGAATCAATTTTAACCCTAAAGTTATACCTTTTAAGTATTGACATCATTTTCTAATTTAAATTTAACACTCTTT